AAATATAAATACTTGACACATTGGAAAGAATTAACATAAAAACAGAGCAAACTAGAATGCTATTTGGCCCTAAACAGAGAGTACACAGTGGCAGAATACCTGACCACTGGGACTGACCCAAACTTAAGGAAAGCTTTGACTATGTACAGACTCAGTGAGCATGGCCTTGCTATTGAGAGAGACTGCCATAGGCAGACCTGGCTCTCAAGAGAAGACAGGCTATGTGCACACTGCCCACAAAATGAGGTGGAAACTGAGCTGCACTTCCTAACCTCCTGCCAAATGTAGAGACACATATTTCCCTCAGATTGCACAGATCCACAGAAAACAAACCCAATTTTGATAAATTCCCATATCTACTGGGTGAAATACCACAGTGTGCCATCACAGCAGCAAGATGTGTGACCTGTTGCCACAAGAAAAGGGCAACCAGTGAAGAACAAACACCATTATTAATACAACCCATATTTATGTTGATTTATTTTCCCATTTGTACTTTAACTATTTGCACATTGTTACAACACTGTATATATACATAATATGACATTTGAAATGTCTTTATTCTTTTGGAACTTCTGAGTGTAATGTTTACTGTTAATATTTATTGTTTATTTCACTTTTGTTTATTATAATTGCTTTGGCAATTTAAACATATGTTTCCCATGCCAATAAAGCCCTTAAATTGAATTGAAATTAAATTGAAACAGAGAGGGAGGGAGGGGAAGTAGAGAGAGAGAGAGAGAAACAGAGAGGGAGGGAGGGGAGGTAGAGAGAGAAACAGAGCGGGAGAGAGGGAGGAGGTAGAGGGAGAGAGAAACCGAGAGGGAGAGAGGGAGGGAGGGGAGTTAGACAGAGAGGAGGAGGGAGAGGAGGTAGAGAGTAACAGACAGAAACAGAAAGAGAGAGAGAGAGGGAAAGGAGAGGGGTATAATAGCTACACATTCCCAACCACTTTCTCAGGCTCAATTCTTTACCTCCTGGTTAGCCACGCTGCAACTGAGCTGGGGCTGAGCTGGAAGCTTCCATTGTGTGAAAAGGAGAGACACACCCACAATAACACATTCACACACACACACAATGACACACTCACTATGCTCCTTACTCCACTCACCGGGCAGGGAGAGGGGGATTCTGAGAGAGAGAGAGAGATAGAGAGAGAGAGATGAAGAGAGAGAGAGAGAGAGAGAGGGAGATGAGAGATAGAGAGAGAGAGCGGAGAGTATATAGAGAGAGAAGAGAGATATGATATAGATACTCGCTACTGTCTCTCTATCTCTCTCTCTCTCGATTCCTCTCTCTCTCGCTCCTCTCTCTCTCTCTCTCTCTTCGCTTCCTCTCTCTCTCTCTCTCTCTCTCTCTCTCGCTTGTTCGCGCTCTCTCTCGCTCTCTCTCCCTCTATATTCTATGTTTATTTATTTTCCCTTTTGTACTTTAACTATTTGCACATCGTTACAACACTGTATATAGATGACATTTATTCATTTGGAGCTTTTGAGTGTAATGATTAGTTTCATTTTTGATTGATTATTTCACTTGTTTATTATTTATTTCAAAGCCCTTTGAATTGAAAGAGAGAGAGAAAGAGAGAGCGCATGAGGGAGGGGAAGGATACACAGTGGGGGAGAGAGAGAAAGAGGGAAACAGATAGGGGAGAAAGAAAGAGAGAGAGAGACAAAGAGAAAGAGATTGAGAGCACTGGTCACTCTGCTGTTTGTCTCTGCTGTTAGTCTGCCCTGCACCGTTGGAGTAACGGACGGTAAAAAGGCGTCTGGTCTCTCAGGGGGAGCTGAGGAGAGGGGGGTGGGGGGGGTGGGGGGTGGGGAGAGAGGGGGAGGAGGCAGCGAGCAGCAGATACACAGCAGACTCAGCGACATCATCAAGCTACCATCCAAACAGGCGCTTCAGAGAGACAGAGAGAGAGAGAATATCATTTTATTCCTGTCATCCATTTTTTTGTTTGGGGGATTTTATCTCACGCGTTCTGCTGCATCACTCTACACTACGGCTGCTGGTGTTGTTATATCAGACAGAGACTGTGATGTAGACAGATATACAGACAGAGAATGACAGCGAGACTAGAGGAGAGGCTGTGAGAAAAGGAACCATAACAACGGAGAGAGTGAGAAGCAACGAGACTGGGAGAGAGAGAGAGAGAGAGAGAGAAAGAGAGAGAAAAAAAAAGGATTAACAGGACAGAGAAAGAGAGAGAAAGATAGAACAGGGTGGACTGAATGAAAGAAGGAATCAGACGGTCCTAAATCTCTTCTCCGGATGTGAGCGTCCGCTCCTCTCCTCCACCGCAGTGCAGCAAGGTAACACACACCAGAGATCTCATCGGCTGCTTCGCGCTCACAGTCCCCGACACACTCTCCCTCTGAGGAGGGGGAGCGACTGGATGTGGCGGGTGTTGGTGGAGCATCAGGAGCATCAGGAGGACAGTGGGGGGGGGGGGGGGGGGGGGGGGGGGGTGGGGCAGAGAAGGACCTAGCTGTGGAGGAGAATGGGAGCTGAGCAGTCCCTGGAAGATGGACAGTTCCCCGGTCTAACCAAGGAGCATACGGAGACCATGTGAGTTCTGACGCCTGAGTTCTGTGTTCCGGGTTTTTGGTTCTGAGTTCCGGTTGGACTGGGCTGTCTTGTTGTTTTGATTGTGTGGATATCCATGCATATGAGTTCTGATGCCTGGTCCGATCCGCCTGGGCTGGAGAGACGGGGACTATGTCTGGAGTATGCTGATACTGTTACTGCTATTGTTATTGTTGTGGATCTCCTCCATGCATACTGGGTATTGTACTCATCACCAAAGGCTTTTGTGGCCCATATCCATTCGCTATCCAAACCCATGATTTATGACCATGAGCACACCCATGGACCTCTGTATGGTTGAGAGGCCACAGAGTGACTGAATGGAGAGAGAGAGAGGGAGAGAGAGAGAGAGAGAGAGAGAGAGAGAGAGAGAGAGAAAGAGATGTTGTTTTGCTTTGTGATGAAAATGAGGATGGGACCACGGACGGCAGCATGTACAATTGTGTGTGTGTGAATGGACTGCATGTTGTGGGAATGAAGAGATATGTGGAAGTATACACAATGTGTATGTAACCTGCATGTATCTGTATCTGAGTGGTGAATTTTTCTCAATCGCGTATTTTTTTGGAACAATGTTGCCGATTTCCAAACTCTGTGGCCTTTTGCAGAACAGAACTTCTAAAAACATAAATACATTTATCCAAACTAAACTGTCAGAATGACAAATACAGGTCTGAACGCTACAGCATACAGGTCTGAACGCTACAAATACAGGTCTGAACGCTACAGCATACAGGTCTAAACGCTACAAATACAGGTCTGAACGCTACAGCATACAGGTCTGAATGCTACAAATACAGGTCTGAACGCTACAAATACAGGTCTGAATGCTACAAATACAGGTCTGAACACTACAAATACAGGTCTGAACGCTACAGCATACAGGTCTAAACGCTACAAATACAGGTCTGAACGCTACAGCATACAGGTCTGAATGCTACAAATACAGGTCTGAACGCTACAAATACAGGTCTGAACGCTACAAATACAGGTCTGAACGCTACAAATACAGGTCTGAACGCTACAGCTCACAATGACATTCTAGACGATTCTCTGCTTCCAACTTTGTGGCAACAGTTTGCGGAAGGCTCTTTCCTGTTTCAGCATGACAATGCCCCCTGTGCACAAAGCAAGGTCCATACAGAAATGGTTTGTCAAGATCGGTGTGGAAGAACTTGACTGGCCTGCACAGAGCCCTGACCTCAACCCCATCGAACACCTTTGGAATGAATTGGAACGCCGACTGTGAGCCAGGCCAGTGCCCGACCTCACTAATGGTCTTGTGGCTGAATGGAAGCAAGTCCCTTCAGCAATGTTCTAACATCTAGTATGAAAATGTATGCACTCACTACCTGTAAATGACTAAAATGTAAATGTAAAATCTAGTGGAACGCCTTCCCAGAAGAGTGGAGGCTGTTATAGCAGCAAAGGGGGGGACCAACTCCATATTAACGCCCATGATTTTGGAATGAGATGTACGACGAGCAGGTGTCCACATACTTTTGGTCATGTAGTGTATAGTTCACCAAAAAATTTCATACACATCAAATCAAATATTATTCCTCATAAAAAAAAATATTAATAAAATAAGCAGGATTCATTCATCGGTGTCATCACTATCCAAATACATGTAATCAATACATAGGCTGGTTTGCTCATAGCGTTGTAGACTTTCCACTGGTTCACAGAAACACAATCCACAATAGAGATAAGGAAAGGGGAATTCAAATGGAGGAACACAACTGATATGAATGCATAGGCCTCAATCCACACCAAAGCAACGCTCTATAATGGAAGGTCACAATGTTGGAGATGATGACTTAATTCTCTGCATCTCTGCATGTACGCAATATTGTAAAAAAAATAATAATAATCCTAACAATAAGATAGCTTGGCTAGATCTTTACCTATATTGTACATGGTATGGCACTGATGGGTTGATCTCGAATGTCATGTAGTAGCATTTACTGGTTGATGGAAACAGTGAACACAACTGCACACATTTCTCTTCCGATTTAAAACAAAATGTGTTAATATTCTGTGAAGAAAACACTTAACAGGGCATTTTGTATTCACTGATGATCCGAAGTTCTATAAATGTATTTATGCTTTTGATCATTGCTGTTCTGCTATAGATACGTTTCAAAACAGTGTGTGAAACTGTAATATGTAAATAACACTGCTATGGGCAGGCTGTGAGGATTAGGATGACTGGGATGCTTTCTAAAGGAGGAGACATAAATGTTTTGCTAGGAGAAGGAGGGCACCTCTGCAGTGAGGAGAGAGAGAGAGAGAGAGAGAGAGAGAGAGAGAGAGAGAGAGAGAGAGAGAAGTAGAGAGAGAGATCGGGAGAGGGAGAGAAGTAGAGAGAGAGATCGGGAGAGAGTAGAGCGAGGGAGAGAGTGTGGGAGTTATTTATATCTGAGGAGCACAGGAGAATATGGGCCAGGCTTAGTGACAGGGGAAGTAGCCTCAGTAGAGCGGAGAGCTGTGGAGGGGTTCTGTGGAGGGGTCTGTGGAGGGGTTCTGTGGAGGGGTCTGTGGAGGGGTCTGTGGAGGGTTCTGTGGAGGGGTCTGTGGAGGGGTCTGTGGAGGGGTCTGTGGAGGGGTCTGTGGCGAGGTCTGCGGAGAGGTCTGTGTGAGAGGTCTGTGGAGAGGTCTGTGTGAGAGGTCTGTGAGGTGAGATTGTTATCAGTACCTCCGTGTGTGAGGTGTGGAGGGGTCTGTGAGGTGAGATTGTTATCAGTACCTCTGTGTGGGTGAGGTCTGTGAGGTGAGATTGTTATCAGTACCTCTGTGTGTGTGCTCTCTGTGTGTGAGGCCAGATAATATAAAATTTGCTCGACTGCTTGATTATCCAGATGTAAAACTGTAGCTACTGAGGTAAGAAGCTATGGCTACATTGCTAGTGGATGGTTTAGGTATTGTGAATGCTTACAACAGGGATCATCAACTAGTCCCCCGTAGCTCAGTTGGTAGAGCATGGCGCTTGCAACGCCAGGATTGTGGGTTCGTTTCCCACGGGGGGCCAGTATGAAAATGTATGCATTCACTAACTGTAAGTCGCTCTGGATAAGAGCGTCTGCTAAATGACTAAAATGTAGATTCAGTCACGGGCCGATGTTTTTCTTGAGCGGATGGTTGGGGGGCCGGAACATAATTACAAATAATTTGTAGACTGCAAATTGACCCAAGGACCCCAAACAGATATGATATCTGACTAATACATAATAATTTCAAACCTTGCTTACATTTGTATACGATCACGTGTCTCTCTCTTATGCGTGGGAATACTTGGGAACAGATTTCCAAAAGTAAAATCAATTGGAGCTGATTTACGGGTGCTTTTACAGTCTTTTATGTCCAAACAATAAAAAATATTGAAAAAATTAACTTGGGGGGCCAAATAAACCGCGGGCCACCAGTCCATGGCAGTCCCTTACAGCCACGACAGAGTTGCCTTGCTTACCATTAGAGAAGTGTGCTCTGCACTCCCAACCATTAGAGAAGTGTGCTCTGCTCTCTCAACCATTAGAGAAGTGTGCTTTGCTCTCCCAACCATTAGAGAAGTGTGCTCTGCTCTCCCAAGCATTAGAGAAGTGTGCTCTGCTCTCTCAACCATTAGAGAAGTGTGCTCTGCTCTCTCAACCATTATTAACATGGATTTTAGGTTTAGGATGCTCAGGTTTTCAGTTATGCAACTGTTTCTGGTGCACCATTTATATAAGTACAGTACACATGGCTTGTAGTTATCTGTAGGGCCTTTACCATTCATTCTAACATACAGGCTAACGCTAGCCTGGTCCCCAGATCTGTCGGTGGTTTTTCCTGCTCCATTGTCGTTGTCAAGCCATGTTCTTCATGACAATTATTTTTAGCAGTTGGCAAGAGAGCAGAAACAGATTGGCACCCAGGCCATACCTGATCCTCTCACCTGGCTGCCACAGGAGCGTAGGAGAGAGAGAGGGTGAAAGAGAGGAAGGTTTTACAATGGAGCAGAAGCATTGAGGTAACAGGCTTCTTCGTGTAGTATTTGGACATTCAGGACCATTGCAGATCATTTATTCTAAACATCACATAGTGAAAAAACAAAAACAAACAAAAAAAATCCAGTTCAGCAATCCCAGCACTGCAGATTCTATTTCTACTGATTGTTAGCACTGGCTCGAGGCATTCTTATGGAACCTTTGTGTGTTATCCACAGAGGCATTAGATCCGTATCCATGGTATCCATGGTTGTTGTACAATGACATCATCTCGCTGCAAGGCAAGGATGTGTAGGGAGGTGGTGTAAGAATAAGATCACCTTATTGGTCACACATGGTCCAACCAAAATTTGACTTCCGCTTTTAGCCCAACCCCTCGGAAAGACACATATACAGTTGAAGTCGGAAGTTTACATACACTTAGGTTGGAGTCATTAAAACTCGTTTTTCAACCACTCCTCAAATTTCTTGTTAACAAATTATAGTTTTGGCAAGTTGGTTAGGACATCTACTTTGTGCAAAACACAAGTAATTTTTCCAACAATTGTTTACAGACAGATTATTTTACTTATAATTCACTGTATCACAATTCCAGTGGGTCAGAAGTTTACATACACTAAGTTGACTGTGCCTTTAAACAGCTTGGAAAATTCCAGAAAATGATGTCATGGCTTTCGAAGCTTCTGATAGGCTAATCGACATTATTGGAGTCAATTGGAGGTGTACCTGTGGATGTATTTTAAGGCCTACCTTCAAACTCAGTGCCTCTTTGCTTGACATCATGGGAAAATCAAAAGAAATCAGCCAAGACCTCAGACATTTTTTTTTAGACCTCCATAAGTCTGGTTCATCCTTGGGAGCAATTTTCCAAACACCTCAAGGTACCACGTTCATCTGTACAAACACCATGGGACCACGCAGCCGTCATACCGCTCAGGAAGGAGACGCATTCTGTCTCCTAGAGATGAACGTACTTTGGTGCGAAAAGTGCAAATAAATCCCAGAACAACAGCAAAGGACCTTGTGAAGATGCTGGAGGAAACAGGTACAAGAGTATCTATATCCACAGTAAAACGAGTCCTATATCGACATAACCTGAAAGGCAGCTCAGCAAGGAAGAAGCCACTGCTCCAAAACCGCCATAAAAAAGCCAGACTACGGTTTGCAACTGCACATGGGGACAAAGATCGTACTTTTTGGAGAAATGTCCTCTGGTCTGATGAAACAAAAATAGAACTGTTTGGCCATAATGACCATCATTATGTTTGGAGGAAAAAGGGGGTTGCTTGCAAGCCGAAGAACACCATCCCAACCGTGAAGCACAGGGGTGGCAGCATCATGCTGTGGGGGTGCTTTGCTGCAGGAGGGACTGGTGCACTTCACAGAATAGATGGCATGATGAGGAAGGAAAATTATGTGGATATATTGAAGCAACATCTCAAGACATCAGTCAGGAAGTTAAAGCTTGGTCGCAAATGGGTCTTCCAAATGGACAATGACCCCAAGCATACTTCCAAAGTTGTGGCAAAATGGCTTAAGGACAACAAAGTGTGGCCATCACAAAGCCCTGACCTCAATCCTATAGAACATTTGTGGCTAGAACTGAAAAAGAGTGTGCGAGCAAGGAGGCCTACAAACCTGAATCAGTTACACCAGCTCTGTCAGGAGGAATGGGCCAAAATTCACCCAACTTATTGTGGGAAGCTTGTGGAAGGTTACCCGAAACGTTTGACCCAAGTTAAACAATTTAAAGGCAATGCTACCAAATACTAATTGAGTGTATGTAAACTTCTGACCCACTGGGAATGTGATGAAAGAAATAAAAGCTGATATAAATAATTCTCTCTACTATTATTCTGACATTTCACATTCTTAAAATAAAGTGGTGATCCTAACTGACCTAAGACAGGGCATTTTGACTAGGATTAAATGTCAGGAATTGTGAAAAACTGAGTTACTATGTATTTGGCTTAAGGTGCATGTAAACTTCCGACTTCAACTGTACATACCCGTTTTGGGAGCGGTGCGGGGGGCTGCCACACTGGGCACTGTTGTTGTGGGGGGCTTAAGTGCCTTGCTTAAGGACACAACAGCATATAGGATTTGATACCAGCAACCCTCCGGTTGACAGCTCACTTCCTACCAGATATTTTTCCCCGTCGGACCCAGGATTCAAACCGGCAACCCTCCAGTTGCTGGCTCACCTCTCTAACCACTAGGCTATTTTTCCGCCCGTCTTCGCCACAATTTATTCTCAGAGGAGACGTGCTTCCTGAACTTGGAGAGCCAGACGGTAACCATAGCGCCGTAAGATACTACTGGATAATCAAAACAGACATGATCACATGATTTAATTACCAGACGCTCTTATCCTGAGTGACTTACAGGAGCAATAAGGGTTAAGTGCCTTGCTCAAGGACGCGTCAACATATATATTTTTTTTTCTTCACCTGGTCGACCCAGGGATTTGAACCAGCGACCTTTCAGTTACTTGGCCCAAAGCTATTAACCGCTTGGCTACCTGCTCTTTATTGATCTCCAGTCAATAACATTGTTCTTAATAACCTGTTGTGTCGAAAGAAGCTGTCTGGTTTCAGAGAGAGTCTCAGATTAGAGATTATTATCATTATTGCGAGTGTTCTGGTCTAAGGGTCCTTCTCAGGGGCTTTGTCTCACGGTGTTGTCATTGTTGTACCCAGACGGGGGAATACTACAAAGCAGAATCAATGAGTTAGCTGATGAACAACCAGAAATAACTATAGATTTATTTGGTTCAATAAGGAAACTAAACTTTGGAATTGTTTTTTTGGTTGTTGAGTCAATGAGACCATGCCCATTTCAAGCTTATCTTTCTAATTTAAAAAAAAAGTTATTTCAGAACATTTAGGCAAGTTAGTTATTTGTGAACATTTGGGCAAGTTAGCTGGCCATCTCATTGATCCTGCTTTGTTACCCCTCTGCTCAGAAATGCATTAAAAGCCCAGGAATTAGTTGACGTATAGCCTCATCGAGAACCAGGCTTCCCTATTCGGAAAGCCTGGTGAAGTCAGAAAGTAGCTACAAAGGGGTGGAATCTAGTGACGCCTTGCAACACGTCAAACCAATCAAATGCTTGGGTGGAGCTCCAAAGGTGCCCACTAGTGCCATAGGAGCTACAGTGAGTGAGGAAATAACTGATTTAAATTATTAAAACCCCATCAAAATATGTTGATGTATGCCGTGTTTGTGGTGATTTTTAAGCCTTGAGACAATTGAGACAATTTAACTGTCGGCCACACTTGACACAATAAACTTTTACCATAGCCTGTAGGTAGACATGCCATAACGGCCCTGTTGTAGTGCAGTTGTAATGCCTTCATCGGCTCGGGAAAAACAGTAAACATTACACGCAGCACCCCTTTTAAGGGCATGTGGGGGGAGGGTTCTTGAAATGTATCATCCAATCAAAAAAAATGTAGCAGACGATTCTAATCGTTTCGACTCAAGCGCCTTTTACATTACATCTGAGCAGTCCGTCGCGTTGCGTCGGATGTCATTAATTTCAATGGGGACCGTCCACAAAAGTTATCACAGCGCCCCCTTGCGGTTATAGGCTCCATCGTGAAATGCATACATTGAATTTTTCCAAACTTTGCATCGTTTTTAGTGCAGCCAAAGTCCGTCAATAGAACAGCAAGTTAACAAACCACAGAACAAGTTGTTTTCTGTTTTATGGGATAGCTAGCAACTTGTAAACCATTACACTTACAGTGGCTTGCGAAAGTATTCACCCCCTTGACATTTTTCCTATTTTGTTGCCTTACAACCTGGAATTAAAATGTATTTTTGGGGGGGTTTGTATCATTTGATTTACAGAACATGCCTACCACGTTGAAGATGCAAAATATTTTTGTGTGTGAAACAAACAAGAAATAAGACAAACAAACAGAAACATTTAGTGTGCATAACTATTCAACCCCCCAAAGTCAATACTTTGTAGAGCCACCTTTTGCAGCAATTACAGCTGCAAGTCTCTTTGTGTATGTCTCTATAAGCTTGGCACATCTAGCCACTGGGATTTTTGCCCATTCTTCAAGGAAAAACTGCTCCAGCTCCTTCAAATTGAATGTGTTCCGCTGGTGTACAGCAATCTTTAAGTCATACCACAGATTCTCAATTGGATTGTGGTCTGGGCTTTGACTAGGCCATTCCAAGACATTTAAATGTTTCCCCTTAAACCACTTGAGTGTTGCTTTAGCAGTATGCTTAGGGTCATTGTCCTGCTGGAAGGTGAACCTCCGTCCCAGTCTCAAATCTCTGGAAGACTGAAATAGGTTTCCCTCAAGAATTTCCCTGTATTTAGCGCCATCCATCATTCCTTCAATTCTGACCAGTTTCCCAGTCCCTGCTGATGAAAAACATCCCCACAGCATGATGCTGCCACCACCATGCTTCACTGTGGGGATGGTGTTCTCAGGGTGATGAGAGGCGTTGGGTTTGTGCCAGACATAGCGTTTTCCTTGATGGCCAAAAAGCTAAATTTTTTTGTGTCATCTGACCAGAGTACCTTCTTCCATATGTTTGGGGAGTCTCCCACATGCCTTTTGGCGAACACCATACCTTATTTATTTCTTTAAGCAATAGCTTTTTTCTGGCCACACTTCCGTAAAGCCCAGCTCTGTGGAGTGTACGGCTTAAAGTGGTCCTATGGACAGATACTCCAATCTCCGCTGTGGAGCTTTGCAGCTCCTTCAGAGTTATCTTTGGTCTCTTTGTTGCCTCTCTGATTAATGCCCTCCTTGCCTGGTCCGTGAGTTTTGGTGGGCGGCCCTCTCTTGGCAGGTTTGTTGTGGTGCCATATTCTTTCCATTTTTTAAATAATGGATTTAATGGTGCTCCGTGGGATGTTCAAAGTTTCTGATATTTTTTTATAACCCAACCCTGATCTGTACTTCTCCACAACTTTGTCCCTGACCTGTTTGGAGAGCTCCTTGGTCTTCATGGTGCCGCTTGCTTGGTGGTGCCCCTTGCTTAGTGGTGTTGCAGACTCTGGGGCCTTTCAGAACAGGTGTATATATACTGAGACCATGTGATACTTAGATTGCACACAGGTGGACTTTATTTAACTAATTATGTGACTTCTGAAGGTAATTGGTTGCACCAGATCTTATTTAGGGGCTTCATAGCGAAGGGGGTAAATACATACGTATGCACAATTTTTCTGTTATTTAATGGACAACACTATTTTGTGTATGTCCATTACATGAAATCCAAATAAAAATCCATTTAAATTACAGGTTGTAATGCAACAAAATAGGGAAAACGCCAAGAGGGATGAATACTTTACAAGGCACTGTACCTGTAAGTCCCTACAATTTTAATAGTAATGTTAAATAATACTAATTGACTGTTAAGCAAATTATATTATATTACTGTTGCCTCTGTAAGCTAGAATGAATGGCTTTTAGCTAGCTAGCAGCTCTGTACGCTAGAATGAATGGCTTTTAGCTAGCTAGCTAGCAGCTCTGTAAGCTGGAATGAAGGGTTTTTAGCTAGCTAGCTAGCAGGTCTGTATGCTAGAATGAATGGCTTTTATCTAGCTAGCTAGCAGCTCTGTAAACTGGAATGAAGGGTTTTTAGCTAGCTAGCTAGCAGTTCTGTATGCTAGAATGAAGGGTTTTTAGCTAGCTAGCTAGCAGCTCTGTACGCTAGAATGAATGGCTTTTAGCTAGCTAGCTAGCAGCTCTGTAAGCTAGTTTGACTTGCTAGAAAGTTAGAGAAACAAGTTGAGGAAAAAGTAACTAAACTTAACATGTTTTATTATCACCTGAAACAATATGTTTCTCCTGTCTTGAATGAAAAGGTCATATTTTGCAGTCTCCCAAAATAAATGTGATCTCTGACGAGAGACTACACTCTCCTGCATCTTGTGTTGTGAAACCCTCCCCGTGCTCTCTGTCCAGTAGCGTGAAGATGAAGCACAGCGTAATGAAATACATCACAATGTGTACTGGGCATAATGGAATACATCACAATGTGTACGGGGCATAATGGAATACATCACAATGTGTTCCAGCCACAATGGAATACATCACAATGTGTTCCAGCCATAATGGAATACATCACAATGTGTTCCAGCCATAATGGAATACATCACAATGTGTTCCAGCCATAATGGAATACATCACAATGTGTTCCAGCCACAATGGAATACATCACAATGTGTTCCAGCCACAATGGAATACATCACAATGTGTAAACAGCCATAATGGAATACATCACAATGTGTTCCAGCCACAATGGAATACATCACAATGTGTTCCAGCCACAATGGAATACATCACAATGTGTAAACAGCCATAATGGAATACATCACAATGTGTTCCAGCCATAATGGAATACATCACAATGTGTTCCAGCCATAATGGAATACATCACAATGTGTTCCAGCCATAATGGAATACATCACAATGTGTTCCAGTCACAATGGAATACATCACAATGTGTACGGGGCATAATACAACATTCTCTAGACCTCCAAAGGAAGCGTAACAACAGCATGATTTTGGAGATATGGCTACGCGAGACTAGTTGAAGTACTGCTTATATAGTCTCATCGAGGTTGCTGTTCTCCTTCTCTCTCAGTCTTGGTGAGGATGAGTGGAAAATGCACAAAATATCTTTATTCAAACACTTTCCTCTCGCCTCTACATCCCCAATGTCTGTCTGGACTTGAGAGGCTCCTAAGAGACATGTGTGACCACAGTGTGCACGCACATTTTTTTTTGTATTTCGGCATTACGTTTGATTGAGATGGAGAATTGCAATATGTCTCCGAAAATGCTATTCGTATTATTATTATGCTATAATTATATAAACTGAGGGTACAAAACAGTGTTGCAGTTCTTGACACAAATCGGTGTGCCTGGCACCTACTACCGTACCCCGTTCAAAGGCACTTAAATATTTTTGTCTTGCCCATTCACCCTCTGAATGGCACACATACACAATTAAATTGTCTCAATTGTCTCAAGGCTTAAAGATCCTTCTTTGACCTGTCTCCTCCCCTTCATCTACACTGATTGAAGTGGATTTAACGGGTGACATCAATAAGAGATCATAGCTTTCACCTGGATTCACCTGGTCAGTCTATGTCATGGAAAGAGCAGGTGTTCTTAATGTTTTGTATGCTCAGTGTATATTAGCGTATATATTATTATGCTATTTTAATTATAAATTCATTTTCTGTATTACATTTGATTGATTTGGAGAATTGTATGTCTGAAAAAGCTACTTTATAATTACAAAAGCATTTTCTGATATATATTACAATTCTCCAAATCGATCAAATGTAATGCGTAAAGACACAGTTTTTCACATGCACACGTGTGTGTTCACATGTTCACTGTGTGTGTTCAATTGAAGGACAGGTTTAATATCATCTGGAATACATCATATTTACTGATGGCAGGTTGCAAGTTGTAGTGTTATGTTAACACCACTAGAGGGTGATCTAAGCATCTCTCTCTCTCTCTCTCTCTCTCTCTCTCTCTCTCTCTCTCTCTCTCTCTCTCTCTCTCGCTCTCTCTCTTCTTGCTTCTGTATACTGAGTTTTTTGATTGACAGACAGACAGCAGGCTTTATGACATCAGTCCAGCTTGCTGACAAACACAAAACAGAAATGAGCAAGAGGATGCTGACATCTGCTAAAGATGTGTATGTGACCAATAACATTTGATTTGATTAGAAAAGAGGGGCAGATGGAGAGCGAGGGGGTCTTGAGATATATATATATATATATATATATATATATATATATATATATATATATATATATATATCTATATATATATATATATATATATAGAGAGAGAGAGAGAGAGAGAGAGAGAGATGGGAGGGGGAGGGGGAGGGGGAAGGAGAGGATAGTCGGTTCAGTCTAATTTCTTGAGGTGTTGAGATTTGCCCTTCTGATAGTGACACACACACACACACACACACACACACACACTGCCACTAATCCAATGACCACGCTAATCACACAGCTGCCATGAGACGACCACCCTCCTACCAGCCAGACCCCCTCCTACCAGCCAAGACCCCTCCTACCAGCAAGACCCCTCCTACCCAGCCAGGACCCCTCCTACCAGCCAGACTCCTCCTACCCCCCATGCCAGACCCCTCCTACCAGCCAGACCCTCCTACCAGCCCAGACCCCCTCCTACCAGCCAGACCCCTCCTACCAGCCAGACCCCTCCTACCCTTGCCCCTCTTCGGTGCCCGCGCGTCTCGCTCTCTCCCCCCTGGCTCTGCTCTGCTCTCGCTCTGCGTCGTCTCTCTCTGCGTCTCAGTCCCTCCTCCTCCTGTCTCTCTCTCTCTCTCGATCTCCCTCTCCCCTCCCCTCCCCCTCCCCCTCTCCTCTCATGCGTCTCTTCTCTCTCTCTCTCCCCCGTTCTCGCGCTCTCCACTCTCTCCTCTCATCTTCTCTCACCTCGTCCCTCTCTTTTGTTCTCCCATTTTCTCTGACATTTCTCTCCCAAGCTCGAGATCGTTTCAAAATGAGATTGTATTGATACAAGGTTGATATAATACAGAACAATAATAATAATATAATAATAACTGTAGGTTTTATTGATCTCTCTACTCTCTTTGATCTCCCTCCATTCTGTTGAAGGGATGATAGAGGGATTGAGGAGGATGACAGTCTCCCCCTCTCCCTCTTCTCCTCTCCCCAGGAGAGATGGCTATCTCCCCCTCTCCCTCCTCTCCTCTCCCCAGGAGAGATGGATATCTCCCCCTCTCCCTCCTCTCCTCTCCCCAGGAGAGATGGAGATCTCCCCAAATAGAGTGCTAGACTACAGGTCTGTTTAGACAGGGCTTGGAACGGTTGGTTGGGTTCGGGGATAAACAGACCCTTTCTGTAGACTATTCCTTATGTAGACTAGTCCTTACGTAGACTATTCCTTATGTAGACTAGTCCTTATATAGACTTGTCCTTATGTAGACTACTCCTTATGTGGACTAGTCCTTATGTAGACTAGTCCTTATGTAGACTATTCCTTATGCAGACTACTCGTTATGCAGACTACTCCTTATGTAGACTATTCCTTATGTAGACTAGTCCTTATGCAGACTACTCCTTATGTAGACTATTCCTTATGTAGACCAGTCCTTATGTAGACTAGTCCTTATGTAGACTAGTCCTTATGTAGACTAGTCCTTATGTAGACTATTCCTTATGTAGACTAGTCCTTATGTAGACTAGTCCTTATGTAGACTATTCCTTATGTAGACTATTCCTTATGTAGACTAGTCCTTATGTAGACTAGTCCTTATGTAGACTATTCCTTATGTAGACTAGTCCTTATGTAGACTACTCCTTATGTGGACTAGTCCTTATGTAGACTAGTCCTTATGTAGACTAGTCCTTATGTAGACTATTCCTTATGTAGACTAGTCCTTATGTAGACTAGTCCTTATGTAGACTATTCCTTATGTAGACTATTCCTTATGTAGACTATTCCTTATGTAGACTATTCCTTATGTAGACTAGTCCTTATGTAGACTACTCCTTATGTGGACTAGTCCTTATGTAGACTAGTCCTTATGTAGACTATTCCTTATGTAGACTAGTCCTTATGTAGACTATTCCTTATGTAGACTAGTCCTTATGTAGACTAGTCCTTATGTAGACTATTCTTTATGTAGACTACTCCTTATGTAGACTAGTCCTTATGTGGACTACTCCTTATGTGGACTACCTCCTCCTAGCTGCACACTGAGCCAGATAGAGAATACGTGTGAGTCTGTCTGTGTGTGTGTGTGTGTGCGTGTGCGTGTGCGTATGTGTGTGTGTGTGTTCTGTATCTCCTGCTAGCTACAGACAGCCAGAGAATCAATCCTGTCTCGAGGCAGGATTGTGTTGCAGACAACCCTTCTCCTTTCTCTCTCTCTATCTCTTTGTTCTACTCTTTGTTGTTCCACCATTATCTTTTCTTACCCATTCCTCTCTCTCCCTCAGCGACTCCATGTATCTGTTCTTACCCATTCCTCTCTCTCCCTCAGCGACTCCATGTATCTGTCTTACCCATTCCTCTCTCTCCCTCAGCGACTCCATGTATCTGTTCTTACCCATCCCTCTCTCTCCCTCAGCGACTCCATGTATCTTTTCTTACCCATTCCTCTCTCTCCCTCAGCGACTCCATGTATCTGTTCTTACCCATCCCTCTCTCTCCCTCAGCGACTCCATGTATCTTTTCTTACCCATTCCTCTCTCTCCCTCAGCGACTCCATGTATCTGTTCTTACCCATTCCTCTCTCTCCCTCAGCGACTCCATGTATCTGTTCTTACCCATCCCTCTCTCTCCCTCAGCGACTCCATGTACCTGTTCTTACCCATTCCTCTCTCTCCCTCAGCGACTCCATGTATCTGTTCTTACCCATCCCTCTCTCTCCCTCAGCGACTCCATGTACCTGTTCTTACCCATCCCTCTGTCTCCCTCAGCGACTCCATGTACTAGTTGCCAACAGGGTTGCCAACCAAGGCAAAGCAGCGACATGGTCAACAATTAGAAAAGGCTTTGTTTTAGACACAGTGGTAGACATGCTGATATGAATGTATTGGTCCGGGTGTATTATATATGTGTGTGTGTGTTGGCCAGGCTATTATGTGGTGCAAGGCTAACAGCTCTCGGTTACCATGGTGACGGTGTGTGTGTTTGCAGAATGTGAAATGTCCTCTGCAAGGGCAGCGTAGACTGGGTTGCTAAACGGGTTAATTACCTCAGCAAATTACTCGTAATAACCATTGGGTTAGCCTCACACATACAGCACTGTTTGGTTTACAGGGTCTGTGAAAATGTAGGTTTTATGACTAGGTCTTCAGGTGGGTTTTAATGGAATGTGTTTTTAACCCCTGACCACCTTCAGATATACATAAAGAAGGGGGT